AATCTTTGCCAACTTCAGAGTTAACTGAGGAATACACCGAGAAAATGGGGAATACAGAATTCAAAACACTTGTTATAAAACTAACAACGAGAAGCATATAAAGCAGGCGTTTAAGTAATTTAAGGAATATGTCACACAGGAAATAGCAACACTGAAACAAAATCAAGCTGAATTATTGGAAATGAAGAGTGTAATAGAACAAATGAAAAAAATCAGTGGAAAGTCTCAATAATAAGATGAAGAAGGCAGAGGAAAGAATCTCAGAATTGGAAGATATCTCGTCACAATGGGGAAACAAAAATTTGGAAGCAGAGCTGGGTCAGGCTAAAAAAGCTATTGAAGAATTAAGAAAAGCATTAAAATGCCAAATGTAAGAGTTATGAGAGTTCCAGAAGGTGCAGAAAGAGATGTTGGGTTTAAAAATGTATTTAATGAAACAATAAAGGAAAATTTCCCTAATCTAGAGAAAGAATTGGGAAACAACATCCAGGAGGGCATGGAACTCCCAACAGGCTTGATCGAAAGTGATCTTCACCAAGACACATGATAATCAAGTTCTCTTCAGTCGAACATAAGGAAAAGATCCTTAGAGGTATTCATGAAGAAAATCAATTGGCACATAAAGGAATGTCAATTAAACTCACAGGAGACCTCTCCCAGGAAATCCTACAGGCCAGAAGAGAACAGAGTGACATATTCCAGATTCTAAAAGCAAAAAATTGTCTACCCAGGATAACATACCCAGCAAAACATTCTTTTGTCTTTGAAAATGAAATAAAATTCTTCCACAGTCAAGAAAAATTAAAAGAATATGCCTCTTCCAAACCTGCCCTACAAGTGATACTTCAAGATGTTTTCTTGGCAGAGAAGAGGAATAGCACCCACCAAAACCAAAGGCAAATGTGAAGAGAATCCCAGTAAAACGACAACAGAAGACTAAACCAATGAACAATGCATTGCTAAAATGACAGGACCAAATTACCACCCCATCATGTTAACCCTGAATGTAAATGGCTTACACTCATCAATCAAATGTCATAGATTAGTAGACTGGATTAAAAACACAAAACTCATCTATTTGTTGCCTACAGGAGATATCTCACCAACAAAAATTAGTGAAAACTATATCTTGTGGATTTTGATTTTTTGTTTTTTAGTTTCATCTTTTCAAAACACTTTCTTGTCACTAAATTATTCAATGACTCATAGATCGTACAGTAGCGTTCTTCAGGAAAGTTCTTGATTTTTTTTTTCATTTCTTCAGCGATACATTAGCCATTCAGCAGAATGTTATTTAACCTCAGGCATTGCTGATTTTGTGTTGTGGCTTTTCATTTAAAGGGATGCATATAGTAACTATGTAATGGAGACTATCATATCCAGATGTGAGGATACAATGCAGTATGCATCTCTACTTCCAGATCAAAGATGGACTCCCAATGAAACTATTTACCATATCTTGACAATAGGATGCTGGACTCTGCCATTGTCCATGCCTGCAATGCTGAATATATGATTGTTTATAAAGAACTATACTATTGTAATAATAAAGAGGAACTCATTGGGGAGGGGAGGTCACTTGGGGATGGAGTAGTTGAAATTCCAGGGCCTATGGAACTGTATCATAAAAATGATGATGATGATGATAAATCTAATGGAACAAAATACAAAAACCACTTGGGGGCCGGTGTGGTGGCTTATCAGGGTTACCCTTTGTCTGCAGCGCTGGCATCTCATATGGGCAGCAGTTTGTGTCCCAACTGCTTTACCTCTGATCTAGTTCCTTACTAATGGCCTGGGAAAGCAGCAGAGGATGGCTCAAGTACCTGGACTCTTGCAAGCTCCAGAGAGACTCAGAAGACGCGCTTCTGGCTCCTTGCTTACACTGGCCCAGTTTGGCAGTAGAGGCCATTTGGGTGTGAACCAGTGGGTCTCTCCTCTCAGTCATTCTGATTTTCAGGTAAAATAAAATAAATTAATTAAGAAAAGAGAACACGTGATCACTGGATGCCAGTGGCTGATTTGACACTTCCCATTTCTATATCCCACAGCTGACCTTCTCTTTAGTCCTACCTTTGATGCTCATCCAGAAACAACATTAACTTTTATCATGCTCTGTCAAAAAATAATCTCTTGTATATAATTTTATAGCCTTAGATTTGATTTCCTTGTTTTTGATACTATTCTTATCATCTTTCACAACTGAACTCCTATTTGGATTTCTCTCTCTTTTTTAATGAAAAGAACGTGTTTTGTGCTCAGTTCAGCTGGATTGAGATCAGAGTGGTCGGTGGAGGGGGCAGGTTATCCTGGACTCCTAGCCATCTGCTGTACTCCTAGGAGCGTGGCTCAGATGCTCACACTGTTCCCGGCGCCTCACCTCGACCACAGCCCTGCTCCTGCGCTCTGCTGTCCCTTATGCCAGATGAGCTGTTTCCTCAAGCATCATTGGGCCTCTTCTCTTATAATTACACACTTTTTTTGGGGGGTGGCTGTGATGTCAAATATTTGAATATTTGACATTTAATCTGTCCTGCCTCAATGCTCAATTTTCTTTAGTGCATGACATTTGATATAATACACATTTTACACATTTTCATGTTTACCTATTATGTTATACAGAAGTTAAATTCCCGCATGGTAAAGGGTTTGTGACACTTCTGTTTCCTGCTGTATCCACTGTATCCTTCTGTATCCTTCTGTATCCTTCTGTATCCTGCTGTATCTACACTCCTGACTGACCATGGCACTGCACAGCCTCAGGACTGCTGCGATGCATGTGTGAATGTACGTAGTTAAAGTCTGAGGGGGTTTCAACATTTCATGGAAAATGAAATGAAACGTTAAGTTTAGTTTTTTGCAAAACTTTTTGAAATGCATGCACAGTTTGTTCATGCTGCCCGTTCCCCATGATGCTTTTGAAGGTGTCTCATATGTCTGGATTCTAATATATTTTTGCACCCAAGTCAACTTTTAGTTAAATTTTCCAAGAATTTTAAAAATCAACTGCCTGTTAAAAAGCAAACATCATCTAAAAGGAAACAGACAAACAAAACCAATATGACAACTGGCCTTAAGCGAGGGCAGGGAAAAAGGGTAAGATCTTTACCTATTAATTTGCTGTTTCTGTTGTGTTTGAAATAAATGGGCACTGTTTGTCACATGTGTCTCTGACTATTTGGAAGCTGTCAGGTGCCCTCTTAGAGCTACTAATTACAGGACAGAATCCTTACTCCTTGGCATTCACGGACAGACTTTTCTGATCGAGTCTCTCACCTCCCACTCTTTTCCGCTTCAGCACTTTTATCTCCTGGTTGCCTCCATCTTTACCTCCTCGTATTCCTCCTGGTAGGTTGATCTTTCCATACTCTTTGCCTGTTTAATCGTTTGTACTCCACAAATCAGACTACTCTCTCTTTCCCTTTAACAGAACTTCGTGGAACAAAGATATTTTTTTTTTCAGCCCGATTTCTGAAATTCAGATATAACTAGCTGAGCCTCTGTGATCTCCTTCCTGTGACAAGTGTGTGTGCTTTCCAGCATTGCTGCTGAAGATCCCTGCGGGTCTGCTACTTGCTTTTTACTCTTGGCTGATTTCCTGCCGTCACTGACTTCAATGAGTCACTTCTCTCATCAACCATGTCCTGGGCCTGGCATTGTGGTGCAGTGGATTAAGTTAGGCACAAACCGTGATGCCAGTTCAAGTCCCCGGTGCTCCACTTCTGATCCAGCTCCTTGCTAATGTGCCTGGGAGGCAGTGGGAAATGGCCTGAGTGCTTGGGTTCTCACAGAAGGGATCAGCACAAAGTCCTAGGCTCCTGGTCATTGGGGAAGTAAACCAGCAGATGAAAGATAAATCTTTTTGTCTTGTCCTCTTGCTGCCTTTCACAAATATTTTTAGGGAAGATTTATTTTATTTAAAAGTCAGAGATACTCAAAGAGACAGATATCTTCTATCTGCTGGTTCATTCCCTAGATGGTGGCGATGGCCAGAGCTGGGCTGATCCAAAGCTAGGATCCAGGAGCTTCTTCTGGGTCTTCCTATGTGAGAGCAAGCAACAAAAGTCTTGGGTCACCCCCTGCTGCTTTCTCAGGCCATTATTAAGGAACAGTAGCAGAGGCTGAGCAGACAGGACTATAGTTTTGACTCATATGGGCTGCTGGTGCCACAGGCAGATTAGCCTAGTAGGCCACTATACTGGTTCTATAAATGAATAATCTTTTAAAAAAAATCCTGTTCTTCCATTTTTTCCCCCTGAAATAAACTATGAGGAAATTGAAACCTCCTTTGCTCATCTTCCTCCTTCTATGCACATGAATGGAGATGGGGGTTCAGAGCTCCATGGGAGTTGGAAGGCACAATGCAGCAGGTGGCCAGAGCAGCAGCAGATGAGTCACCCTTGTCTAAGAGTGGTGAGTGACCACTAGGAGCCTGACTGTCAGTCTCTCTATCAAGTCTCTCCCCTTCTCAGGCTGCTCCTGATTGCATGAGTATCAGTTTCCATGTTTTGGGGTGTTAGTTTTGTTTTCATTGATGTCTTTCCTGAGCCCCTTGAGGTACCTGTCTCCACAGAACATGTGCTTTCTGAGGGGTTCTGTGCTCAGCTCTTTGCAGTCCTCTGCCTATTTCCTATTTTATTATGCTGCTTGGTTTACCTGTGTGTCTGTGTCACTTACCTCACAGCTTCAAACGGAGTGACCTATTTTGTTGAATCTTGTTTTGCCAATGCCTGATTTGGAATATAATCATTAATGAGTGATGGAAAAATGAAGACTAAATACTCCATTTAACAGAGGCATTAAGGAGAGGGAGACATTAAGGAGAGGACAAGTTTGCTGTGTGTGTCCTCTAAAGGCCTTGGCTGAGGTGGAAGTTTGGTTTACTCAGCATACTCTTGGAGTGTGTCTCCAGCACTTGAAAAGACCTTGCTCATCCAGGGCAGGTCTCCGTACCCATCTCAGCATGCCTGTGAACCCATATGAGGCATAATGTTCATTACCTGCAGCCAAAGGCATGCTCAGGAGAGGCGTGTTGGCTGAAACTATTGCTCAGACAAGAATCTTCTGCAAACACATTTTCCTCACTGTCTTGCTTCTCGATTGAAGAACATCCCAAGGGTTTAACTGTTGCTGGAGCTTGTAGGACTTTGGTGTCCGGATGCCTTTTCCCAGCTTTCCAGGGATCATTGGCACCAAAGGAATGAACTGATGAAGAAATAAAATACCTTCGAACAATCATTACATTGCCTGTACAAGAAAAACAAAATCCAAATTTAACAATTTCTACCTTTAATAACATTTTCAAATGGAGAATTATCTGGAAAATATTTTATTGAGATGCTTTAAACAAAACTATTATTTTTGATGCATGAAAGACATCCATTTGTTGAATCACTTTACAAATATTGGTCAAGTGCCAATCTTGTGCTAGGTTCTTTGTCAAGAAGTGGGGTGTGGTAGTGAACAACAAAGTCTTGCCTGCTCAGAGTTTGCCTTTTGAGGTGTAGTATACATATTGAACACAGATTGTATTTTATATGATAGAATCCGGAAAAACCAGGCTGATAATGAAAATGAAATAGAGGCCGGTGAGGGTAAGGATTTAGAGGTTATTTAAATTGTGTGGCCAAGGAAGAGATTTTGAGAACACAGCATTCAGACAGAGACATTAAGGAATGCCAAGGTGAGATGAACCGTACCAGATGTGGTTTCAGTGCCCAAACAGCACACATGAGAACTGAGGGGGAGGAGGCAGAGCCAGCAGGGGAATGTGGGCTCCCCTGCTGGACCACCACTCCCATTGAAGAGCGAGAGTTGGGATGCCGGTAGACCAGACCAGGCAGGGCTATAACACCTGTGGGCCTCATGTGAGCTAGCCTGGGGAAGGGCCAGGTCAGGCTGACTGTTCCGACTGGTGCAAGCAAAAACTAGAGTGGGTGAGGGTCGGTTGGACTTGGTTGCACAATTATTTCTAACTTAGGTTGGCTACTCACCTCTACAGAAAGCAGAGAGAACGTTGATGTGGCCATTGCAAAATGGCAGCCCTCCTTGGCTTTGTTCACTTTGGAAAAGTAAAAGACTGAATTTTAAGCAAGAATTCTGATGGGAGTTCCAACATTTATGACACGCTTAGCTAAAAGTAACAATCATATATCAAACATTTTCATCCATGAAATGTGATTTCTATAAATACCTTAAACACAGAGTTATAACTATTGGTAGGCATAAACAGATTCTTTATATTGTATTGCAAAAAACATGGCAGAGAGAATCATGCTGATGATGGCAACACTTAGGTTTATTTGAGCTCAACAGGGACTGGTAGCAACTAAACTCTTTACAGCATTTTCTTGACATAACCAGTGATTTTATGACAAGTACTACTGAGGCAGTTTGGGTTTCATTTGTATGGTCTTGGTCTCAGTCAATTTTTTGAATGAGATCTCAGAGATCTGCCACTATTCCCATTTTACAAATGAGGAGAGTAACCAGAATATCATATTGCAGTCACAGGATCATAGAACTGTATAGCTGAGGGAAGATAACGAGTCCAATTCATCAATTTTACAGGAGGATTTTAAGATTGAAAATATCATATGGCCTGTCTAGCATTGAATAGCAATTATAAAGCTGGGACTGCAACCCATGTATCTTCATTCAGAGGCCGGTGCTTTTCTGTTCATGTTGTTTATTGTTTTTTTAAGGATTTATTTATTTTTATATGAAATGCAGATGCCCACAACTGGCAGAACTGAGCTGATTTGAAGAGAGGAACCAGGAGCCAGGAGTTCTTCAAGGCTTCCCACATGGGTGCAGAGGCCAAACGTCTTGAGCCACTGACCCACTGCTTTCTCAGTCCATAAGCAAGGAGTTGGATTGGAGCAGCCAGGATACGAACCCTTGCCTATATGGGATGCTGGTGCCACACGTAGAGGATTGGCTCATTACACGACCATGCCAATTCCTGTTGTTTATTCTTTTATTATCACATCACACATTAAGAAACAGATAAATACTGCTTAAAGTAACTCAACCGGTCTTCTAAGGAAAAATTTAGATCTCATCACATTTCTTTCTGGTGGTGTTGGTGCAATTGGCAAGCATTGCCGATATTTCACCAATTGTTTTCCACCAATCCTTTTTGAGCTTACTTTCTACACCCTGAGAGGAAATAACCAGCCATATACTGAGGAAGTGAGATGCTCGTGATGTGTTCAGGTGTTGTTAAGCATCCAACTTCCTCTAAGATTGACACTCAGAAGAGTTTAAGTGTGATACTCTTGGTTCTTTGAACAATGCAATACCTGATTTAGAATAAGACGCAGATAGACTAGTAACCAAATTCATTTCTTGTTAGAATAATAATCCTAGCAAATAGATCATAAGGAGTGCCATTTATCTTTGGAGTAAGGCAATGGTTTTCAAAGGCAGACTGAGCTGGGAGGGAAGGACAGTGCAATCTTTTTCCATGTGTTTGTTTTAAGAAAAAGGTTTGTTAATTTACCTGAAAGGCGGCATTACAGACATAGGCAGAGAAGGAGGAGAGAAAGAAAGAAAATGAGAGCAAACAGGAGCTCTCCTCTCACCCGGATCTCTCCCTACATGGCTATAAAAGCTAGGATTGGGCCAGGCCAAAGCCAGAAGCCTGGAACTGCATCTGGGTCTCCCACATGTGTGCCCACCTGGGTATTATCCAGAGGCGGATCAAGAGTGAAGCAGCAGGGACTTGAACTGGCACTAGCATGGGATGCCATTGTCTCATGTGGTGGTTTAACTTGCTGTGCCACACCACCACCAGCCATGGTGCAATCTTGTCTTCAGACAGCTTTTGGCACTGTCTAGAGACATTTCTGAAGTTTGTAACTGGACAGGAATGAGTAAATACTACAGCATTTCCTGGAAAAGGCTAGGGAAGCTGCCAAATACTTACAAGGCCTAGGATTGGCATCCACAATGACAGAGTCTTCGCTTGAACGTGTCAGTAGTGCACCAGTCAGCTGGGAAGTCCTACTGTAAAGACCACGTTAAAACATGCGTAGCTTTTCTTGTTTCCCATCAGAAGTGCTGTCTTACAGTATCCCTTTTCACAATTTTATTTTCAGAATAGTTGACAGGATTTCTCAGACCCTGAATTGTACTTGACACAATGGAAAAGATCCCGACTGCAATCTGTTTTCGTCCTTAAAATGTTCTCACTCGAGAGAGGGACTTGTCTAACAGAGATGAGAGGCGGCGTGCCATGACATGTTCCATTGTCAAGTTAACCTTCTAAATGGCATTGCCTAAAGTCTTTGACAGGTGATCTTGCAACATTTCACTACTTGATTATGTCTGCCAGTTATATTCGAATACATTGCATGTAGGCAATCACTGACAAGTTAAATGTAGGATGTATTTCCTGTTTTGCCAATTTCTGATCTCATGTATAAACCTTGGTGTTAGAGCCTTTTCTGTAAAGGTAAGCCATTTGACTTTTAGATTATGTAAATCACTGGCCAAATGTCTTGAAGTCTTCATTCTATATGATAGACTGAACGAGGTGCAACATACATGGCTACAGGATGAAAATGTGGATAAGAAATCTGCCATTGCTATGTTTGCCAGGTGCTAAAAGGAGCTTTCGTCCATATTACTGTAGTTAACTCTCATGATAGATGTAAGAGTTAGAGTGAAGAAAAGGATTTTAGAACTAGCCCAGAGTCAAGTGACAGAGCAACCGGTCACTGGCAACCATGCTTGTCTGACTTCACTAACCATACACTTACCTATTTGGTAATAGTGTGGCAATTTACAAAGTGAGCATATAATGTGTCTTGCACACACTCAGTATTTAGTTGAAGGGAAGAGGAAAAACACATTCTGATAGATTTCCACAACTTTGTCATTCTCACTTTACTTACCAAATCCAGAAGCAAGGTTAATGTTGCTAAAGTAGGCTTCTTGAATATGTTAGGGCCCATTGCATAGCCTAGTGGCTAAATCCTTGTTTTGCATGCACTGGCATCCCATATGCACACCAGTTCATGTCCTGGCTGCTCCACTTCCATCTGAGAAAGAGCTCACTGCTTGTGGCCTGGAAAAGCAGTTGAGGATGGCCCAAAGTCTTGAGACCCTGCACCCCTGTGGGAGACCCCGAAGAAGCTCCTGGCTCCTGGCTTCAATCAGCTCAGCTCCAGCTGGCCATTGCAGCCACTTGCGGAGTGAACCAGCAGATGGAAAACCTTTGTCTCTCCTCTCTATAAATCTGACTTTGCAATAAAAATAAAGAAATGCTTTTAAAAAGGCAACGCCGAAGAAATTTTTAACCTAGGGATTGAAATCTCATACCACTAGGGAATTGATGAATCCCTGAAATGCTAATATAAGGCAGTTATGTGATAGTCACATTGACCCTACTATTGAGAAGAGAGTAAAGAGAAGCACCTTGCGCAGAAGAGGTATGGATGGTTAGTACCTTGGTGCCCTGGCGTGGCTTGCGCTCCATCAGTGGAAACAGCATGGTGAGTGGTGGCTAGACATTGTTCAGCCTCATCCTCTTCCCATTCATCTCCAGATTCTTCTCCTGAGCTCCGAGCTCTCTGACCACTCAAAGTCAGTTTCATCTGAAGGACTCGATTCTCTTTCTTCAGGTGGTTAATCTCTGCCTGCATTGCCTTGATAACTTTTGTGTACTGGATATTAGCTTCCATCGCCTCTTCTGGTCATCAACCTGGCTTGTTCCTTCTGGGAAGACAGGCCGAATACACTTAGTGAGACAGGTTGGTTGATCCCATGAACCCTCCTGGCAATGGATGTGTCTTTCTATTGCTGCATCTTTCAGCACCTTGGGCTGAAGCCAGTCGGAGAAGTAAAGGATCTCCATGATTTATTCATTCTGGGTGCTGTTTTTCAGAAAAGAGATTTTCTTTCTATCTTTCATTTCACATCAATCCTCGGTTCAGCAACATTGCATTGTGTCTGATGAGATGAGAACATTCCAAACATTTCCAGTGAGGAATAGAGTTTCCTGCTTTCAGCATGAACTCAACATCACAGGAGTCACCCAATCTGTTCTTGGTTACCACTCTGGGATCAAATGGTTCACGGGATCAGCAACTGTCACAAGTATATTGAAACTGACATGTAAGAATTGAGGCTTGTTTTCTCTGTGAAATATGCCATCGTTCATACTTTTTTTTTTGTAATTTGTTAATATTGGCACCTGCTGATAAAGGAGGGGTAAAGTTAATTCCAAGAGGTCATGTAGACCTTCAAGGATCTTATTTAAATATGTTGATAAATTAGGGATCTTATTTAAATCTTTTGACAATTTATGCCTTAATCACTTAAGACGGAGCGTGTTCCAATAGGTTTCTATTTCTTAAATTTTTTATCTCTGATAAACACAATATAAATATTTATGGGGCACCATGTGATATTCTAATATATGCATGCATTGTATAATGGTTGAAATGGGGTAAACATCTAGCTTCTAAAACGTAACACACTCAAAGCTCTTTCCTCTAGCTTTTAATGAATATGCAATATAGTTACTGCCGTGTAAGCATCTTGTTCTTATCTAGCTTTTAGATATTGTACAGATAAAGGTTGCCCAGGGATATTTTGGGAATGCAAGAAGATATAGGCTGGACATTAATCTTGAATGAGAAAGACTTGTAACAATTATAGGCTCATTAGTCATTTCATGAAGAGTTATCTTGTTGGAAGTGAAAATGTGAAACTTGAATAGCAGATGATCTAATGGCAGCATCTGGAAATTCAATTAGTGTTGGAACATATAATAATAACAAAAATTATTATTAGAAAGCATTTTAAGATATTGGTAGATTTTCCTATGCATCATTTTTTTCTATTTTCAATGTATGTCAATGCTTTTGCCATCCTAACAAACAATTTTGATTGATCCAAGATTGAATATAAAAGGAAATGGAGACAATATTTTCTCTTCTTTATTCATATTAATTCATCCTGTGTTCAAATTTCAGGATATTCTTACTGAAAAAGTTTTCCATAAAAATAGTGAAGCTATTTTATTTTTACTTAACCAGATTTGAGTGAAGCACGTGCAGGACTTTCCAGATGTTGTGGGAATGCAGTGTGGGATGTGGAGCAGGTTGGGCTCCGCAGGCCACCGCATCTGCTTGGTAGGTGTTCACATCTGTTCTAAGGTGTCTGTGGCTTTCATCATTGACTGCATTTGGGTTCTTCTCTTACCAGAGAGTCCTTTTTCTGTTAAGGTATGCTATCTGTTTTTAAACTAAGATTATTTACATTGACCAAAATTGGTCTCTGGATAGTTGGTTCTTGGTTCCTCCTTTCCTTGGAAATGAAATGCAGCATATCTAATTGCTATGTTAAAGGACATTTTCCATTGTGTTTCAAGACGTCTGCTCACCTCGCTAAAGATCCCTGATTTTTTTCCAGTTGTTCATCATCTAATGGGTTTCAAGATCCTTGAGACTGTTTGGGTACTCCTTTTTTAAAATTGTTCTCTGCATCTAAACATGTTCTGGAGCAATCATATTAGTATAGGATAAACTGTCTCAGCTTCTATACAGAAGTTTTCATGAAATATTTCCAATAATTAGTAAAATGCATGCTTAAAATTATATTCGGCAACAATGAATGCATAATACACAGATACTAGAAATGACAAGTTTATTGTGATTTTTTTCAATTTTTAAGAAAGATTTATTTTTATTGCAAAGTCAGATATACAGAGAGAAGGAGAGACAGAGAGGAAGATCTTCCTTCCATTGACTTACTGCTGAAGTGACCACAATAGCCAGAGCTGCACCAATCTGAAGCCAGGAGCCTAGAGCTTTTTCTGAGTCTCTCACATGGGTGCTGGCAATGTTTCTCAGGGTCCCAAGGCTTTGGGCTGTCCTCGCCTGTTTTTCCAGGCCAGGGAGCTGGATGCGAAGTGGGACCGTTGGAAGTAGAACTGGTGCTCATATGGGATCCTGACACATTTAAGATGAAGACTTTTGCCGCTAGGTTATTGCACCAGGTCCTGATGTTTTACAATTTTAAAGTTTTATTTTAGTATGGTTTAGATTTAAATTTGTTACATATACACATTTTAAGTTCTCATATTAATTTGATATTAATACAAAGAAAACAGATTCAATGTAATTTGTCTTTCTGTGCCCCACTGGTTTCACTCAACATTGATGCCCTGCAGGTGTATCCTTTTTGATTTATTCATTCCTCTGGTATCACATTTTCTTTATTCATTCACCTGCTGATGGACACTTTGGTTGAGTTCATATTGAGGCTACTGTGAACTCTGCTATTAGAAGCATGTTGGTGCCAGCATTTCTTTGATGTGTGTGTCTACGTCTTTTGTAATGGGAATGACGGATCAATCCTAACTATTGTTTTTAAAAGATTTATTTATTTATTGGAAAGTCAAAAATACAGAGAGGAGGAGAGACAGAGAGGAAGATCTTCCGTCCGATGATTCACTCCCCAAGTGAGCGCAATGGCCGATGCTATGTCGATCCAAAGCCAGGAGCCAGGAACTTTTTCCAGGTATCCCAGGAGGGTGCAGGGTCCCAAGGCTTTGGGCCGTCCTCGACTGCTTTCCCAGGCCACAAGCAGGGAGCTGGATGGGAAGTGGAGCTGCAGGGATTGGAACCGGCGCCCATATGAGATCCCGACACGTTCAAGGCAAGGACTTTAGCTGCTAGGCCACACTGCCGGGCCCAATCCTATATTCAAGAAACCTCGATTTGTTTTCCACAGTAGCTGCTGTGATTTTTTTTTCATTTCTGGCTCCCTGTTTTTTTTTTTTCTTTTTTAATAAGTCCTTGAGATACATTATTAGATCACTTATTTGAGATATTGAGTATTGGCTTGCATATATAGTTTTTTTTTCAGTAGTGTTTCTTTTATATCTATTTTGTGTATGTGTTTTTTTTTTATCATGAAGTGATGTTGAGCCTTATCAAATGCATTTTCTTCATTTAGAGAGATGACCACAGTTTTTGTTCTTCATCTTTTTGCTGTCACTTATGACATTTATTTATTCCCAACTGCTAAACCACCCTTTTGGCTCTGATCTAAATCCCTTTTGATCATGATGCATGATAATTTTGATGTGGTATTGTATTTAGTTTGCTGCAATGTTGTTGAGATTTTTTGTGTGTATTTTGGTTAAGGATATAGATTTCTAATTTTATTTTGTGTTTTTGTTCAATTTTGGTATCACAGTGATGCTGGGCTTCACAGTAAGAGTTGGACAGAATTCTGTCCTGCTCAATATTTTGAAATGGTTTGGAAAACATTGGAATTAGTTTCCCTTTAAATGCTTTTTAGACTTGAGTTGCAAAGTCATTAGGACCTGTGTTATTCTTTGATGGGAGACTTAGTTATTGTTGCAATCTCTATTCTTCTTATAGATCTGTTTAGATTTTCCTTCTCTAATTTTGGTAAGGTCATATGCATTCAGGAAGTTACTTACTTTTTAAAAAGTTTTCTTTTTCTTCAATCTGGTGCGACTTTATTTGTCACTTAATATATGATCTATCTTAGAGAATTTTCTATGGGATTTTGAGAAAAAAATGTGTCCTGTAACTGCTGGGTGAAATGTTCTATGAATGCATATATCTTTGTTGACATCTGTATGGATACTCTGTTCATTGAGGGCAGTGGAGTGTTGAAGTTCTCACTGGTATTGGAGTGTGTCTCTCCTTTTGCTGTATGTATTTGGGTTGTCTTGTGCTGGCTGCATATATGTGATTGTTATCTTTCTGAATCAATTCCTTTAAAATTCATTATTTTAAATTTATAATCTTTTAAAATTGTAATACCCTTAAAATTCTTTTAAAATTGTAATGTCCTTTATTTCTTTTTATAATTTTTGGTTTAATATCTGTTGTATGCGTACAGCTGGTATAAGTACAGCTATTCTTGCTTGTTTGCCAGGTGTATCTTTTTGCAGACCATCATGTTCAATGTATCTGTGTATTTCTTTGTGAAGTGAATCTCTTAGAGGTAGCTGGAAAGGGGATCTTGGTTTCTTATCTCTTCAGCCAACCTATTCATTTTGACTGATGAATTTAATCCATTTACATTTAAGCTTAATATTGATAGATAAGAATTACCACTGTTATTTTATTGATTGGTTTTTAATTATATTTGGTCTGATGGTGATAAATTCCCTGATTTTGCTTATCTTGGAGGTATCTTATGTATTCTAAACTTCCAAAGGTGTATTATTCTATTATTCTTCGTTGAAAGGTTTTTTTTTTAAGACCTTGGACTTATTAACCCACTCACTTTAGGCTTGTACGTTTTTTGCTGAGAGGTATGTTGTTATTCTCATTGATTTTACTTTCTGTGTAAGTTGATTCTTTTCTTACTATTTTTACGATTCTCTTCTTTTCCTTGACTTATGCTATTTTGACTTTGGTGTGTCTTGGAGAAGATTTTATTTTATTTTATTTTCAGTTGAGTCTACTTGGAGTCCTTTGATGAACTGTGTCTGTCTGGATGTCCATGTCTCTTTCAAAACTTGGGCAGTTCTGAACTACTACTCAATTTAATAAATCCTCTATGTCGCTTTCCTCCTTTCCTCCTTCAGGAATTACTATAATACCAATAATAGTTGCTTAATACTAACCCATATTTTATGTACGTCTTCTTTCATTCTTTTAAATTTATTTTTATCACCTCTGATTCCGTT